ATAGCAAATGTTGAGGAGAATAGAGAGAGATGGGAGCATTTGTGCTCTGCTAACATGAATAGAAATTGGTGCTGCCATTATGGAAAATAAAATAGAGTTTCCTCAAAAACCGAAAAATAGAACTAACATATGATCCAGCAGTTCGACTTCCAGGTATTGACTCAAAATAATGGAAATCAGGATCTTGAAGAGGGTTGCACTTCCCTTGTCACTGTAGCATTATTTACAATAGCCAAGTAGTGAAGACAACCTGAATGTCCACCTAGAGATGAATCCATTAAAAAAAATGTAGCATTGGGATACCTGGGTGGCTTAGTCAGTTAAGCGTCTGCCTTTGGCTCAGGTCACGATCCATCCAGGGTCCTGGGATGGAGCCCCTCACCGGGCTCCCTGCTCAGCAGGGAGCCTGCTTCTCTGTCTGCCTCTGCCCTTCCCCCTACACCCCTCCTCCGGCTCCTTCTCTCTTTCTCTCTCTCTCTCAAATAAATAAGTAAATAAAATTTTAAAAATTTAGCACAGACACATAATGAATGGTATTCATCTCTAAAAAGAAGGAAATCCTGTTAAATGCTATGTTATTGGTAAACCTGGAAGACTTGCTAAAAAATAAGCCAGTCACGGAAAGAGAAACAATGATCCCACTTCTTTGACGTATCTAAAATCCTCAGACTCACGGAAGGAAAATGTGCAATGGTCATCACCAGGGGCTGTGAGGAGGGAGAATGTAGAGTTGCTCTTCAATGAGTGTGAAGTTTCAGTCACGCAAGATGAAAAAGTTCACGCAGATCTGCTGGACAAGCTGTATTTAGGGTTAACAATACTCTACGGTACTCTAAATTTGTCCAGGGCAGTTCTTGTGTTACGCAATTTTTACCACAATAAAAAAAAAAAAAGTGAATGCACCTCACAATAGCAATCAAAGAAATGCAAATAAAAAATTATCACCTGTCACATTAGCAAGGGTTCCCTGAGGCAGGCTCTTTCATTTACTGCTAGTTACAGTGTAAATTGGCAAGCATAACCATTTTGAAAAACACTTTGGAAATATTCATCAAAGGGTCTTAAAAGTGTTTACACCCTTTGATATAATAATTTTACTTGTAGGACTCTCTTCTCATGCAGTAATAACAAATGTAAATATGTTTATTATTTATTAAGACCCCAAATTAGAAATCTTCCCAATGTTCCATGAGAGAGGAATGGTTAATAGATGTTGACACATGGGATGAAACAACAAAAATGTTTATGAAGTTTATCGACAAGAGAAAACTACTCACAATATAGTATTAATGTATTAATATTAATATAATTATATAATATACAATAGCATCAATATTATAAATTATTAATAAAATGAAAGGGAGGAAAGCAAACTGCATAAAGGGTGGTTACACATTATATTATCACTACTATGTCAAAAAATGAAAAATAAAAATGATGAAATCGATAAAAAATGTTATATGAGGTATTTCTGGATAAGAAGACTATGGATGACTTAAAATAAGGTTTGAAGATATATTTAACACACAGTTTTATGTATTTAACTTATATAAATACTCTCTATTAAATTTATATTTTATATGTATTTTAATATATATTTTTATATATAATTTTAAAATGGAATGTGACCTAAGGTTTCATGAGAAGGAAAAGACCAATTTTTCCAAACATGTTTTTTGTAAACATAAACAAGTAAGGTAGAATGTAGAATGACCAAAAATTAGATTCTACATTCTAGAAATATCAGAAGGTATTTGATTGGCTTTATTTAAGGTATGGTTAAGACAAGCAAACTTTGTCACTGGATGTTTTCATTCTAGCTTAAAAGAGGTAGATATAACAGGGGGAGAAATCAAGAGAAAGCCTTACATTATTTATTTGCGTTAGTAAACATATGGCCTTTGGTAGCCCAAGAAATAGCATCAGCTCCCTCTGGGATTCTGTGGGTGGGTCATCCTCTCCAGGAGAGTGGTTTAGGAGAGATGCAAATGGAATGGTAAGCAGGGAGGGAGATGGGAGGGTCTGCCTTGGCAGCTAGGTCAGTCCAACCCACCGTGGGTTGGCAGATGGCACAGCCAGATTGTCCCACCAGCCTGGAGCTACTAACTAAAACAATTACATTCAAGAAGAGATAAATTCATGCTACAATCAGATTCCTAATATTAGCTAGGGATAGTAGGGGTAATATTCTATTCGGCGTAAGTTGTGAGCAGAAAACTCATAAAGGATGGACAGAGAAAGGTGCAAGTTGCCTTCTAAAGGGACACAAGTCACTGACTCTCTGAAAAAGTTACATTTATGCCCCATCACTCTGCTCCCCTCCCAGCCCTGCCATTTAATACCACTTAAAAAGGGTTCTTTTACTTAGACTCCTGTACATTTCCTTGAAATCAGAGAATACAAATTTGGGGAGCTTGAGCCCCAAGTATAAAGTAGATATAGTTTCAGTGGGCCCATGCTCTGTTTAAAAAAAGACAAACAAACCTGAATGAGTTGTTTGACAGTTCAAAATTGGGAGATTTGGCATAAAATTCAGGATTTGGGCTTTTAAAAAAGTTAAAGTTAGCAATAGTGAGCTGCTACTGTCACATGGCAGCCATTTGCTGGAGACAAGCGACTGATGCTCATGTTAGATGGCATGGCTCACCAATTTGCCACAGTCCTCATTCAGCCCTTGTGCTCATTTGGATTTTCACCCCTGGTCCCTGCATACATTCCTGAGGCTTTTGGGTCTCAGAGTGATTTACAAAACTGGTGTGGTAGCCCTGAGCTGCCTACAGTAAAAGTCTCCAGTGATAAAAACAAAACAACAAGAAAAACAAAACAACCCCCCCCACCAAAACACCAACCCCCCCTCATTCAAAGCAACACTTCCTAAATAATTCTAATAGAGACAGACTTGATTCAGAACCATAAACGTGCTCAAAGACATGCTGGGACAACAGAAAGAGAGCACTGCACCTCTGAAAGTCAGGGGCGCCATGGGCAGACAGCAAGAATGGAGAACCTGCAAAGACTGGGACATCCCATGGGAAACTCTCAGCCGAGGGTTTGGAATACTTAGTAAGAGGTTAATAAATATTTGTTTCTATCTTCCTAAGAGCAGATGCAGAACACAGCAAGGAGGAAATGGAGCCAGAATAGTGTAATGCAATGCACAAAAGCACAGCACGCCAAGAGAGAAGGAGGGAGGAGGTAATTGTAGCCTAGAGAGCTGTAGCAGCAACAGAGCAAGCCTGGAGGAGTTCGAATGACAGAGCCAAGTACTGTAATAACAGGGGACTGTGTAACCATGGCATGATTCGGATAGATCTTTGCTAGTCACACATCTATATGGTAAGTAGAAGCATAGAATACATAGATGAAGGTAGCATTAATCAAACAGAAAATTCAGACGGAAATTCACATTAAAACCCTGGTGATGAGAGAACATTCAACCTGTTAGTGAAGACTTGTGGGTTAAAACTACAACGGAATATATATATTAAAAAATACAGAGAATATATAAAATATGTAGAGATACTGTATTCAGTTGAAGTATATAATTTTTTATAGTTAGCTGAAACAATTCATGGTTTAGATTTTGTGTGTGTGTGTTTGGCTTACCAATGGTGTGGCTCTAGTTACTTTGGAACAATTCATTTCTAAAGCCTCAATTTAAAAAAAATCAGTTAATAACCAAAGTAAAACTTTCTGAAGCATCATTTCACCATAGTAATAACCTGTCAGGGAATGTCAGGCAAAGGGTGTTGAATGGCAGGATGGAAGGTTACAGATGTAGCCTTTTTTTTTTCTAGCCCTTTCCTTAGGGTCATGGCTAATCAGTCATTGTTTATGCATAGGGTAGCTTTTGCAGTATTTATTTCTCTAAATATTATTCTCTAAATATTTAACAGTCTTGGGAGGCAGTGACTGGCAATAATATGGAGTTCCTAGTAGGTTATGAGTGCTTAATAAATGGTAAAACAATAAAACCCTGCATGATGAAAAACAGCAGTCAATAAATCTATTATACTCTAAACCATTTTAAAGCCATAGTAGTAACTATTTAAAAGAGCATTGTAAGCAAACACAGTGGGTTGACTACATTATGGTAATAAAGGAACATTGATACTCACTAAAAAGTTCACCCAGGTAATTTCCTCTTAAATTTTTTAGGGGAGTGAGAGACGGTATGGGAAAAATGGATGGAGTATGGATTAAAACAACAACAAGAACAACTTTTTTTTTTTTTTTTTAAACCATGTAGAACCCTGCTGACCACAAACCGGGTAACTACATCCTATGCAGTGGTGGGATGCTCCAAATGCCTTCAAAAGTCAAAACTCCTCTAATTCAGCACCAGTTAGCAAACCCCTGCAAATTTCTAAATGTCTTCAAGCTTTGAAAGACTTGGTTTTGGAAGAAGAGTTACCCAGGTGCACGAGCGCAGCACCTCCAGATGTATGCCGCTTTACAGTGACACGGGGAGAGCAAATGCTCTCTAACCGGAGAGGAAGTTCTTTTTTTACATCTAACGGAACCCGGGACTGCTAGGCTAGGCTCGGGAACCTTGACTATTGCGTTTCCGGGATCCAGTGCAGCCTTCAGCTGCTGGAGAACTGGACTGCAAGGGCTGAGAACCCCGTGCTTTAAGTTTGGGGAAGGAAGCGAGAGGGGGAAAAAAAATAGAACTGTTCCTTTAAGAACTTCCTTTCCTTTTTACTCTATGTTTACATAACACAGGGGCCGTTCCACCGCGGGGCCCGAGGGGGGCGGGGAGGGGGGCGCGGGCCGCCCCACGCGCCAGGGGGAGGGTCGCCGGGCGGGTCGGGGGCTGCGGGGCTTCCGGCGGCTGGCCGGACGACTCCCACCTGCCCGCGCGCGAGAGGGGCGGCTCCGTGGTCCTGCCCCCGCCCCTCCCCCGCTCGCTGCCCCCGCCCCTCCCGCGCTCGCTTTCTCCCTCCCTCCCTCCCTCCCTCCTTCCCTCCGCGGGGCTCCGGTGGCGGCGGCGGCGGCGCTCGGCGCGGGCAGGTCCCCCTGCTGCCCAGTCCCATTTGTTGCCGAGTCCGGCTCGGAGCGGCAGCGGCGTGCGGAGCTCCCGGGAGCGCGGCCGGGCAGCCGCACAGCCACGACGGAGCAGCCGCGGGACTGGCCGCCCCGCGCCCCCTTCGCCGCGGTGCCCTTCCCAGGCGCGCTCACCCCCTTCTCAGGATGGGATTGTAGCGGAGGCGCGGACTCGGCGGGGATCGCGGCGGAGGAGGCGGCGGCGGCGGCCGATCGGGGCTCCATGTTTTCCCCTGGCCAGGAGGAGCACTGCGCCCCCAATAAGGAGCCGGTGAAATACGGGGAGCTGGTGGTACTGGGGTGAGTCCCGAGATCTCCGTGGGGGCTTAACGGCGGCCGCCGAGTGCTTCGGGCTGGGCGGCCGCGGGGCGCCGGCATCCCCGAGCGGGGCCAGCGGGGTGGCTCGGGCGCTCCCTGGGGAACGCCGGGGCTCTTGGGGCGGCGGGGCGGCTCTGGGGCCGGGGCGGCAAGCGCCTGGGGAGCGGTGCCCCCCATCCGCGCGCGCGGGGTGCTGCAAAGACCGCCGAGAGGCTCTTTCCCCGCGGAGGACGGCGGCCGAGGAAGTAGCGGAGTGGGGTCGGCCCCGGAGAGGCAGGGACTGTGGCGATCCCGCGTCCCGCGGGGCGCTGCTCTCAGGGACAGAGTCCTCGTCCTTACCGGGGGGAGGGAGGGACGGACCCTTGCTCGACTTCCCCGCGCGCCCTGGGTCAGGGAGGGCGCGTAGGGGCAGGGGCCGGGGCCGAGGCGCCGCCGTCGTAGGCACCTCACGGTGTGTGGGCAGACCCCCCAGTTAACTAAGCTGAAAGGCCGGTGGGTCCCGGTCCCCGGGGGACCCTCTGCCGGGTGGCCTGTAATCCCGGGTCCCGGAACTCCAAGCGCGGCGCTTCGGGCTCGGCCGCCGCGGGCGGCGGGATCTGCGCGGTGGGCGTCCGCGGGCAGCGCTTTGCATATTGTTATGGTGACCGCCGCGGGTAGCTGCAGCCCCGGGGCAGTGAACTGTCTGTGACCCGGGCGGGCAGGCCGGCCCTCTGCTCTCCCTGGCGGGAGTGTCCTGGAGGGGGCAGGGACACGGCAGCGCCTGCCGGGGCTCCGGGGTGCGGGGCCGCATCCCCACCGTCCCGGGCCGCGGCCTCGCTGCTGTTCTCCCGGCGCCGGGGAGCCCGCCCGCCTCGGCTCCCTCTCCGCTTGTGAAAACCACATTTTGAAGATAGTAATTATCTACAATCGTTAAACGGCAGCAATTAGAGACTTCATCTACTTCCTGAGTTTCCTTGTGACATTTCTATTGTTTACCCTTAATAAGCCGGGAGAGAGGCTTCGCGGGATTAAAGTAGGATAAAGTGGGCAGTGAAAGGGGAGCAGAATGGGGAGGAGGGAAATGCAGGAAACTCGGGAGTGGGAGCAACTTGGATTTAGCATTTGGAGAAGAAAGGATTATTTTCTCCTTTGGATGTGTCACTCTTGGGAACCCGCGCTTTTGTCCTTCTCTGTTGAAAGACCTGTATTCAGACGGTCTTTGGTGCTGATAGGTAGGCTTAGCCCGTATGTGAGGAGCCACGGGTAGGGAAGATCTCGGCGAACTCTGAAAAACGTGTTTTGATAACTGAATACGTTGAAGTAAGTGCCGACTTAAAAATAATTTTGAAGAGAAGGATTTTTAAGGGAAGCTTCCAGACACAGTACAGCTGGAAGTTGTCTAGTTCTCCTCACGTTGTTGCTAGAGTATTAAGTGGAGGATTATTGGAAATCTCATTACCTATTTTGAAGTTTGCAGATAAGCGGTTTTTCCCACCTGCATCTTAATTGCGCTGAAGAGACAGATGTCAGGGTTCAGTGGAAGGAGAGGGGAATGACAGGGGGAAAGCCCGAGGTTAGCTTGTCTTATGTAACCTCAGCCCAACCTAATTTTGTGGAGTTTGGTTTTGTTTGTGTGTCTGGCTTTCAAGTGTGTTTAACATACTTTGTAAACCCGACAGGAAAGATTAACGTACTCCAGAACTTTATTTCATTATGTCCTTTTGAGGAAATCATTGTGGAGATGTTTCAGAAAAGCGGTGTTCAAGTGGGCCTTGGAGAGGTTTTGTGTTTATAGCTGCAAATGCAGGGCGTTCCAGAGCCGTGGGAAGGATTTAGACCGAGGATTGTCCTGGTATCGTAGGCTTATTCCAAAGTAGGCTATGTCAGTGTGTTGCCCATCACACGTGCTGTGTCCTCAACTGATGGTTTTCCGGGAGACACTAAGTATGACATAGTTGGCAATTTACCATTTGGGGCCAGACAACCTGATACGTGCCTGCCCTGCTTAGGTATTCAGGATCTTGCACTGAGGAAGGAGCTCAGTTTAGCGTGGAGGGGTGGGCATCAGCAGAAAGAAACATGTAAACAAATGAATAATACTCAATCTCAGGTGTTGCCAGGCTCACCACCAAAGGTGGTTAACTTGCAGAATGTCTGCGCTAGGTAGGTATTGCTTTCTTGAACTGGGAGTTCAAGGCAGGTCTCTCTGAGAAAGTGAAATGTGAGTTGACCTCAGACTGCTGAGAAGATACTTGTCAGGTTATTGAATACTTGAGAAGAATTCTGGTCTTTTTTGAGGGTAGATTTCTGACTCTTTAGAAATAACAAACACACCGAAGAATGCTGGGGGAAATAGTGAGTAATAGGTAGACTTGAAAGAGACCCTCTTTATTTGTGTCCTACTCTCAGGACTTGAGACAGTGCCCTGCCCCCTTCAAACAATCGTAACCGTCAAAGAATCAATATCAACTTTGCATATCTGATCATTTGGGACATAAATATTGATAGAGAATTTCTAGTAGGTTTTATTGATAAAATTAATCTTGACCTCTAAAAATGATCAATATTGATACTGATATAAGCTTTTACTTTTTTTTTTGTAGTTGTACAACTACCTTTCTCTTCTAAATTTCTTCTTTTTTTTCCTCTCTTCTAAATTTCATATTAAAATGTTAGAAATCCTGGGGGACAGACTGAAGAACTATATACACATATGTGTATGTGTACAGACATACACATATATGTGTATAAATGTATGTGTGAAGAGCTATATATGTATCATGTCCACATCCACATGCAAATATGTGTCTTTTCACGTATTACACAATATTAAGGGACTTGACAGGTAGTTAGGGTGTTAATAGGGTTATCACCTTCTCATTGGATTAGTGGAATTTCATTATTTCTGGATTCTAACCAATGAATGTGTCATGCCACAACCCTTTGTTGTGCCCATTGCATGATTCAAGGTAGAGAAAATGACTGGTCTAACTGTCAGGTCTTTCTTGCTATTCATTGTAAAGCTGGCTGGCATGTTGAAGTTGGGGAAGCATGTCTGGATTTGAGAGGCCGTTCACTGTAGTGGGGAGAGCATTAAGGTATGGTCCGGAGACCCAGGTTCAATCTCTGCTTTCTTGCCAGCTAGCTTTGTGACTTTGGCTTAGTCTCTTACCTTGTCTCTCCTTCTTCAGCCATAAGGAAGTATGATTGGGTTAGGCCATCTTTAAGGATCATTCCTTGTCTGTACCCTGTAATATTGTTCCTTGGTTCAAATGTGGAAAATGCAGTTAACATTCTGTGTGTTGGTTTTGAATACTCTTAAGGTGATGGATGGTGGCAGGAAAGACCAATGCAGTCACTTCTTTTGAAGTAGGTATGTGCAAAACAGGCATGTAAAAAAAAGTTGTAATGGTGCACACATATTTGTCTCATTTGGTTATATGTGAAGACATTCAAATTTGGTAAAACTTCCTGTTCCAAACTTAAGAAAAAGCAATAATGTTTTGCAGTTAAGCTCAATAGGCTGGAAAAGCCAGCATAAGGAAGAGATAATCTGGGTAGGCCTTTGGAACTGGAAGGGGCCTAAGAGGTGCTGGTATACATTTAGCCCTTTTATTTTACTGAAGAAGAAGCAAGTGAGGTTCCCGGCAGGAAGGAGATTTGTTCAAGTTCATAGCTGAGCTGGATCACGGCACTGCCCTGGTCACTGTTTTCCCACTTCAGGACAGATTCCAGCAGGGCTGTGAGTTCCTCAAAGCTTCAGTTTTTTTTTGTAACTTGCACAAGGGGAGCTGAATCCCTTTCTGTTTTAGTGTATGTGCTGCCCAAGCGAGCACCTGAATCCCTTTCTGGATTCAGTTTGAAGCATGCAGCTCTTTTGCTGACTAATGGCCCATCATGGTTTTTTGGGAAAATATTGCTTACTCTTAGTTCCCCTCACCTCACAGTGGAATGGGTAATACATTTTGCAAGGCTTTAATTTTAATTTGATGCTTCACCAAATGTATTTTTTTTTGAAGATTTTATTTACTTATTTGACAGACAGAGAGAGATCACAGTAGGCAGAGAGGCAGGCAGAGAGAGAGAGGAGGAAGCAGGCTCCCCGCTGAGCAGAGAGCCCATGCGGGGGCCTGATCCCAGGACCTGAGCTGAAGGCAGAGGCTTACCCCACTGAGCCACCCAAGCGCCCCTTCACCAAATGTATTTTTATTGGATCTCCCAACTAAGGGTTTTTGGGGTCTTCAGATAGAATTCAGGAAATCCCTGAACTTGGGATTGGGGAGGAAAATGCATCTCTATTTTCACTACAGTCAGATTGAAATTTACAATTTCACTCAATTAGGATAATGGGCAGCAGAGAGAACTGCTGCTTGATTTGCTCCTTACTGCATTAATACAGAACTGCTTATATGATTGTATCATAACTTAAAACTGTCTTGATAACTAAGCGTAATTATTTTCACTTGTAATCCTTTGTATTTTATTTTATGCATTTAAACCATTTTTCTGAGAAGGGCTCAGTAGTCTTTACCAGACTGCCAAAGGGATCCTTGGCACAAAAATGGGCTAAAAACCTCTACAAAAGAATGGTTATGAATATGACTGAAAATGAAGTATTTTAGTGGAAACTGATTAAGGTCTTCAAAAGGCTAAAAAGTCAGGGATGGGGTGGGGTGGGGGAACTTGCCGTTTTTTCCTTTGGATGGTGCAGCATCTATCAGGTAATACAAAGAAGGCAGTTCCTTGAAGAGTTTATGGTCTTTATTTTTTAAAACACGCAGCTCCCGATTTCTATATGCTGTTTTCGTTTTAACCTTGGCGCCTTGCCTTTGCACCCCTCCTTTTCTCATCCTCCCTCTAATTTGGGCCCGAAGACTTCAAACACTGGTATCCTTTATAGACTAATAGGTCTTTGAACTTTTTTTTTTCCATATAGGAAACAAAATCTTTACTGTCACTCAGCATGTGGGGTGATCTGAAGAGCTCAGATCTGTTTGTGTGGA